TGAGGTATCAAACAAGTTTCTATTTTCGTGGATGAAAACGATGTCATGTTGGCCATGCCAATAATTTGGACTACTACTTGGCTTTCACCTTGTCAACGAAACCTGCCATTGCCCATGTGACCAGCCAAAAAGGGGGGAGGACACTGTTGTCTACAAAGGGTCGGGACAACCCGGCCCTTATTTGGTCCAGTCCGGGTCCAGCATTATCCCTCTGAAGAGGCAGGTCATGTTGAAGTCCCTCTTTAGCCTCGCGCATTTTTGTTTCTCAACATAATAACAAACGATAACAAAAAAATTTAATTCGGTGTTCTTATAATTCTTTTATCCTCATTCTCAAGAAGCGGAAATGGGCATTGGCAATTTAACGAATAATGTCATTTTACAGTAGTAACATCTAAATGTACACATTCGTGGCATGAGCAGGGTCGGTCACACTATCTACGTAAAAAGTTTGAAACTAATTTTCTCACCACTAGCTAAATAATTATAAGAGTTCTCTTTGCAAATAATGAAAATCCCCTCCTTGGGAAGAGAGCAAAACAATGAAGTTCTGAAAACAAGTTCATCATTGAAATAAAATTATTTTGATTAGTACAAAGTGCAAACCCCATGCAATTGATTCGTGACTAACAACATAGAACACTCAAGAACCATATTCCAAAAAAATTCCACGGCTAAAAGAAAAAACCGTGTACGTTAAATATGTGAAGCTACAAGCAAAGAAAATAATAACCTGCATTAGGAGCATCGAATGTGAATCCATGAAACCATTTTGTGCTGGTTGAAGATGCAATTCTGATTCAAGAGATGCACCATCACATCATGATATTTTTTCCCCCTTTTTTCCAATTATCTCTCGCAGTTCTTGAAATGGATTCTCGTGGTGAGTGGGAGGAAAGATGACATTTCAGCTAAGTGTGGAAAACATCAAGAATTCAAGTATTCTTCCCAGCCACCCTTTTCCAACCTATCATCCTTTACCAAGACTTCGTCTCTTCTATCTTCTTGGTATTGAGCCATCCTATATGAATGGAAAAACAAAGTTCTTTATTAATTTCTACATAAGCAAAGTCTTTTTTTTTTTCCCCAACATTTTTGTTGGTTTTCATTGAGGGAGAAAAGAGACAAACCTTGCTTGCAAGTCGATGTCACTAATTCCTAGCAATCTTACAGCCAACAAACCTGCATTTGTGGCATTATTTATTGCTACTGTTGCAACAGGGACACCCCTGGGCATCTATACATAAACATGGAAATCAATTATTTTTAGTTAACAAATATTACATTCCTCCAACACAGAAAACATTGTGACACAACACATCAAGCAAAAATAACCTAAGCCTTATTCCCATTAAACTTGGGAGTAACTATCTAAATCCTATTTCATTGTTCCATTTGATTCAGAAATAAACCTTTCTTTAAATGTCCCAAGAAATCAAATCATTTGTTACTACCTCTGGTCGTATGTTAAGTTCGATACAATGGGATTATCCCACAATGGATATCTAATGTTTTCACGAAAGTACCTGAACAATTGACAAGAGGGAGTCGAGTCCATCCAATGTAGAAGCACGTACAGGAACACCAATCACGGGCAAGGGTGTCATTGAAGCCACCATGCCTATTAAATCAAACAAGGTTACATCAGTGCGTTCAAAGAAATATGATTGAAAATGGATATTATGCTCTAATATTAAAGACCTGGCAAGTGAGCGGCACCACCAGCACCAGCAATGATAACCTGGATACCGCGCTCCCGAGCAGACAAAGCGTAAGAAAACATCATTTCAGGAGTCCGGTGAGCTGAAACTATTCTTACCTACATAACAAAGTTAACTAAAGTTTAATATGCCTCATGCCACAAACAAATATCTACACAATGACAAAAATATAACAAAACAATGTGCAGTAACCTCTGCAGGAACATCAAACTCCCTTAAAATCTTTGCAGCTTCCTTCATAACAGGAAGATCTGAATCCGAGCCCATGATGATTCCAACACGAGGTGCAGCTGCAGTAGGAAGCATTACGGTGCATGACAAAAATGTCAGACGGAGAGAAGCAGGCATAACATCGGACAGAGATATTTGGGTAGGAGATTAGGGATGCTAACAGATTTGGTCAACAAACCAAATGTTTTCCAAACAAACAATGACGCTCTAGAGATTAAAAAATAAAAAAAATAAAAAAATAAAAAGGTAAAAAATAATTAGCCCTTGTTTGAGCCCCATTCTTGCCCAAAAATACATTTTTGAATAGTATATTAATAGAAAGTGTATGGGTAAAAATAAAGAAAAGTTCTGGATTTGCGTGTAATATTATTTTAATGAAGATTGTGTGATTGAAATGAGGTCAAATTATTTTTGAAGAATGTATTTTGATGGAAATAATGGGGCTCAAACAAGGGCTAAATCAACTTGAATCCCAACATTGATCTCACAAGCAAATTTTTTCCAATTCTTTAACCCTTATCCCATGTTCAAACAGGGATTCGTCACTACGTGCTGTCACCCGCATAAAACACGGTATAAAGCTATCAAACACAACTGACCTGCAGGCTGTCCATCCAATATTTCTGTCAGCATGAATTTTAGCCGAGATTCAACAATGCCCATGGAGGGGCCTACAATCGTGATGTGACCCATCTTTCTTTGCTTTCTCATTTCTGCAGAGATACAAGGATTTAAAAATTTCGCTAACATGAAGACAGGAAAATAAAACATTTATGTGCAAGAGTTGGTTTCAGCATCAACCGACCAGGTTTGTCATACCAATGAACCGATGCCCCTTTAATTCTCAATGCCCTTCCAATAAGTTGATTAGCCAGAAGGAAACCCGGTTCGCCCTATATCCACAAGTGAGAAGTAAAATATTAAGAAAGCCATAAAAGTGAAATAATGGTTTTTTAAAGCTATTGCTGCCATTCAGCATGAGTCCACTGCTTTCTCATTCTCGACCAAGAATAGCAAACCTCACCATCTGGTTAACCGTTTACTAATATTCTAGCTTTGAATCAAGGCGTCGATATTGAAACTTCCCTTTTGATCTAAATTATGTGAGGTATAAAGCTTATTTTATGTCATCTTACGGGACAAGCTAACTCTACCCATAGATGTAGGGAGTGAGATTAATCAACAAAACCATCAGAAGTACTACGCCGGCAAAAAAA